ATAACTTGACACACTAGAAAACTTAAACTTGTCATTGAAAAGAGCTTGGAGCTAGCATGGTGGGCAGTACAACCATCTTCAACAGCAAAACATGTCTACATTAGCTAAACCAATTTCCTTCCTTAGAATTAAACAACCAAGCCATAGGACTTCGGGGTAGTTTGCTTATGCAACGTAAACCCTCACCTTATCTTTAGTTCTTTGTATAGCTCTGCTGTACAGTATAAGCCCTAATTCATTTTAAGATTCCAAGGTTGTCGTTTGTCACGACCTAAATCCTCACATCCTCCAGGATATTTGTGTGCTGACTTCACACAAATGTAAGCCCTAACAAATAAAATTGGTAGGATGAAACACTTAAATAATTTCTCCTCAAAACTGAAGCCAAATAATAAGATATACTAGGAAGTCACCAAGGTTCTCCTCCGGATCTATACATCCCCTTGTTCTTCATCCTTTGGATTTTACAATAAAATGTTCCAAATTTGAACTCTTCCCATTTCATACCTCTTTGTCCGATTTCGTTGAAAAGTCATATCCTTTTGAACTCCTTAAAGATAATATTTCCTGATTTTTATCGAGAGTTTTCATAGGTGACTTCGGTCATCTAAGATGTAATTAAGTATAGGGGTTTTCCCTTATAGAAAACTTTAGAGAACCCAGCTTAAAATAAACCAAATTTAATTCTTCATATTAAATAGGAAAAATTTTTGGCAAATAAAATGGTTTCGCAGACCAAATGAATGGGTGAAGACCCTTAAAAGGGGCAAGTTGATGCTTTTAAGACACTTAGGCAACTTCAGCTTTAACTTGGGCTTATAGTGTTTTAAAGGTGTTCAATTTCTAGTTATATTCACTTTTCTAATCCTCATTTAACCAAATTTGATTTATCCTATGTCACTACTAAGCCCTTAAGATCCCTATGGATACGTTAGTAATTTTTGAAAGAAATTAAATTTTAAGTGATAGTAATTCTTCATCAAAATGTTTGAATGTCATTTGAACATCAGACAGGGGTATTAAATTAGTAAGTTATTAATATCGAAAATCATACTCCTAAGTCTAGAATCATTTAACTTAATAGATCTCCCAAATTTTAATGATTTAAGGAATTGCAAATTTATCCTTTGATTAAGAGAAGTGAAATTAGTTTCTACCAATTAATTCCTTATGTTTGAATCACCTGAACATGTTAATTATGATCAAAGATTGTTCAGTTCCCTTTCTTGAATTAAGCCTAAATGTTAATTAAGACCAAATTTCCAAAATTATACCTTTGCCCCTAAGGCTCTATCACTTCATAATTCATTAAATTTAATTCATATGACTTTGTAATTTTTATTTTATCTCACTCATGGTTTAATGAAGACATCGTAGGAGAAAATGTGATTTTTCAAAAATTAATTTAATTTATAAAATTATTTACATGCAAAAATAAGATTTTTCAAAGAAAATTCAATAACTTGACCAAATAAAAGCCTAATCACTTGAAATTTTTACTAGTGGCACAATTAGACCAGAGAACCACTTAGACCAAATTTCATGATTTTTTGAGTTTTACTTGAATTAATTAATTATAAAATATTTTAGATGTGGAAAATATATTTTACATTTTTATTAAATCTCTCTGAGTTCAAATAAACTAGAGAAACATATTTCATATTTTTATGATTTTTCTTTGAATTATTAGAATTATTTTTGTCGAAATTAAGAAAAATCCTTTTTTAGCCTTTAAAAATTATTTTTATGCTTTAAAATTTAATATCTTCACTTTAAAAATTAGGAAAAATATTCTAATTGCTCCTAAGTGCTTGGGAAATAATTTAAAATATTTCCATGAATTTTATTAATTTTGTGATTTTTATTAATTTTTTATTATTTAAATATTTAAGATATGCTTAAAAATGAAATTTTTATTTTAATTACAATTTTATTCTTAGAAAATTTCTCTAGTCACAGAGAGCTCCCAAAACCAATTTCATAATTTTTTTAGTTGTATTTTAATATTATGATTATTTTAAGTGTTAAAAATGTCATTTAACTTGGAAAATCAAATTAGGTTATCAAATGAACGTCGAATGTTTTAAAATTTTTATGGGGAGTCCTATGAATTTTAAATTACAATGGAGAATTAAAATAAAGTCATTTAGATGTTTATTTTTCCTAAATTAATTCTCTTTATGCTTTAAGATTTTCTGAAAAATAGGTGTGTTCTTAATAACTTAGCCCATGACAAATTTTTCTTAAGGCTCCCTAGTCATAGTGAATCTTCCAAAATTTTTTTGGATTTTTCTAAGCAATATACTAATTTAGATGGATAAACTTAAAAAATATAGATCTCTGTCTAGGAGTCTCCTCTGAATTTGGAAAATCAAGGAATATCTCCCATGACAGGGCAACAACATGCCAAAATATCAAGTCATGGTGAAATATTTGAATGCATGGAGGATCAAAATACTTAGAACAGTATTTAATTAATTAAAAATAAAATATGCATCAAATAAACATAAAACCATTTCCACATTATTCTCCTCTCTTCACTGAGCATTAGAATATTTTATTTTATTTTTGTGATATTTCTATGCAAAGATATGATTTTTCAAAGTTATGAGAATTTAAATAAATAGAAAAATTTCCTATTTTTCTATTCAAACACGCAGTTCCACGTCAACCTACGGCGGCTCCGAAGCTCCACGCGGCGGTCTCTAATTCAACTCAACGCTGTCATCCACCTCAGTGCTAACTCGACCCGCGGTTCATGTATGAAGGCATTGTCCGGCTCAATCTCATCCGTCCATCCGATATACGCTCGATCGAACGACTCCCCGTCATCGTCCCCGATAGCCAAAACCCATGACCATTAACCTTAAAACCTTAAGATCTCACTCATTTCTCAACCAAATGACCTCAGGTTTGATTTTATAGACTCGTCTAAGTGAAACAATCATATATATATGCTAAACATGCCATTAAATTGCATTTATGAAAGTGTAGAATCAAAACAAGCTCGGGACAGTGGGGCGGTTTATACCTTTGCTCTGAGAAGGGAAGCATACCTTTGCTATGAGTAGGGAAGCTTTAATCAGAGGTGCTCGACACATTTGTGGAGGTCCAAAGAGGCTAGGGATTGAGCCTGTTGCTGTGGTGTAATGTCTAGACCCAAATTTGATCAAGGCCGAATTTGGGTGTTTATCAAAGTCTAGGGTAGAGGCTCTCTGTGAGGGGGTTTTTATTGGGCTTTGTCTTCTTTCACTATAATGAAGGTGTGGGCTAATTTAATAAAGATTTAGTGCACTGTGGAGGTATGGTGGAGAATGTCCTGTCTCCGGTAAGTATTTGAACTAAAAAATTGAGCTCTTGCGATGGGAATTAGGGCAGGGGGTGTTTGGTTTAGATTGAGGAGGTCCTGGAGAGGCTGTGGGAGCAATCTTACAAGGTTTCCTTAAGAAAATTTTAGCACCCTTATGTTGGTGGTAGAGGTGAGGTTTTATAAACATGGCCAAAGAGGGAGCTCAGGGCCTGGCCTTGGGTGCAAAAGTCGGTTGAGGTGGTGGGCTAAGAAGCTTTAAAGTTTAATCAGGGTGAGCTGGCCTCTAGGGTTGAGATTGGGTTTGATTTAGGGATGGTGGCCCTCAATTTTGAGGAGCTCAAGTGACTAGGCTGGCCGACAGAGCCATGGGAGATGGCTAGGAGGTCAGGTATGCCAGGGAAAGGGTTAATTATGTTTAACCCTCAATGGCAAGTGATGATGGGGGAAATTTTTGGTTAAGGCCCATAAATGGGCATGAATCCCTTAATTTATGGATCCAATTATCCATAGCTCACCATGGCTGGTCTAAGGGGGTTTATCTTAGCCCATGGAATGTGCTTAGTGGCTATGGAGTCATCAATCTGGTGGCTTTAG